TCAGGTCGCTACTCTGGTTGAGTGTTTCGCGTGGTTGCAACGATGCGACGAGTGCATCGAGCGGCTCGAAGAACTTTGTCGTGCCGAGCGTCCGTGCCTTGCCGTTGGACATAGACAATCCGTGGTGGCGAGGATCGCGCGACTCGCGGATGCAAAATCGCAATTGGAGCGACGATTCGTGCACGTTGGTGGTAGGCACGCGAGTGACGAGTACGCGAGTGGCACAGAGCAATCTCTCGTCTGGCGAGAGATTGATGCCGCGTTTGAAAGCCGTATATTGACGGGCGCTGTGTTAAATTCTAATTACATCGAGCCGCGGCGGTTTTTAGAAGACGCGAGAGAAATAGTGCTCGGGCAAGTTCGAGACGCTGTAGAAAGACACGGTAGTGCAAAAGTGAATACCGCGTTCAACGGTGAATTTGCAACGAATGACGAACCTGCCATTAAAAGTATAAATACTGAGAACATTGAAATATATCGATGCACCGATATACGCGAGTGGTACGAGCGGCACGTCATCGAGCCTACGTTGACATCGCTGGAAGAGTTCCAGGAACGCGACAGTGGGTGGGCGCTGTCGCGAATCCTCAATTTGACTATCAACGTGAATAAACTAAATCCCATGTGCGCGGGATGTCATGTCGAAGTGCCGCGGGAAATAGTGACAAAACGAGCGGTAATCAGTGTGCGTACGACGGACAATGCGTGCTTCGCGTGGTCGGTGGTCGCCGCTCTACATCCGGCTGAAGAACATGTGCATCGGGAATCATCGTATCCGCATTATACGACAGTGTTAAATTTCACAAACATCGAATTTCCAATGATATTGAAAGACATTCAAAAATTCGAGCAATTGAACGACATGTCAATCAACGTGTATAACATCGAGAATAAACGGGTCCTTCCTGTATGGTTCACCAGCGACAAGAAAGAGAAACATGTCAACATGCTATATCTGCAAGATCCACGCAACGACGATGTAGGCCATTTTGCGTGGATTAAGAACCTGTCGCGCCTCGTGAGCTCGCAACTCAGCAAACATAAGAATAAAAAATTTTTCTGCGATCGGTAAGTATACATAAAAAAAAATTATAATTGTCCTTTATACTAATAAATAATAATAATTTATATGCGTTTTTTCCAGATGCTTGCACTACTTCAGTACGAGCGAAAAAGTGGAGTTACACGCAATAGACTGCGGAAAAATTAATGATTGTGCCATCAGACTGCCGAGCGAGGACGACAAATGGCTCGAATGCAACAACCACTACAATAAGGAGCGCATTCCATTCATCGTCTACGCCGACCTGGAGTGCGTTCTGCAGAAGACGGAGCCCGACAAGGAAGATGCGTCGTACACATATCAGCGTCACAAGGTATGCAGTGTGGGCTACTACGTGCGTTGCTCGTACGACAACTCGTTGTCATCATATCACTTCCGTCGCGACGAAAACTGTATAGCATGCGCGACAGTTCAATGATTTGGCGCATCACGTCAAAGATATTATATCCGCCAACGTGCCCATGGAAGCATTATCCAAGCAACAATGGGAGACATATCGTAACGCGACGCGTTGTCATATTTGTGAGAAACCGTTCGCACTGGACGATACACGGGTCCGCGATTATTACCATTTAACCGGTCGTTACAGGGGTCCCGCCCATTCAAATTGCAATTTAAATTATAAAACTTCGCTGTATATTCCGGTTGTATTTCATAATTTATCGGGGTATGACGCGCACTTTATAATTAAAGAAATAGCTACCGCGTACGACGGACAAGTAGATGTATTACCGATTACGAAAGAAAAATACACATCATTCACTAAACACGTCGATAGCACCAAAGACAAAACTGAAAATCATTTTCAGAAAAATTGTATAAAATTAAGATTCATTGATTCTTTCAAATTTCTGAGTACAAGCCTCGATAAGTTGGCGTCGTATCTCGATAAAGACAAATTAAAAACATTGCAAGGTCAGAATTTTTTAATCTTAGCATGAAAGATTTCGATCTACTCACGCGTAAAGGTGTCTTTCCAT